CACACGCTTGAGGTATTCAGCCAATCACAGCGCACTGGATAGCTGGCCAATCAGAGCACACCTCGCTTTTCAGAACGATGAGCTTTGTAAAAATCGACACGTTTCAGAAAGGCGGGGCATAGAGGAGAAACAATAATGTACAGTATGTGGAAAATAATGTTTTTTTTACCTTAAACCGCATAAACACATTTCATTACACCAAATACACAAAATAATGTTCTTTTTAGCAACATCATATGACCCCTTTAATAACCCTTTCCTTACCTATATCCTGCGTTTGGACCAGGCTCGGTTGCAGAATCACATCACTTGTGCTTCTGAAATTAGGCTATTATCTTTTTCTATATAGTGTAGTAGTAGCTATCTCTGTGTCGTACGTGGCCGCTTGTCAAGCATGAAAAACACAAATTCTGAATATATACAGCATGAAAAGAGCGCTCCCTATAAATTTATTAAAAACGGTCACTCATTCATCACGATCTCAAAAGTTCCGTTTTAACCAATGAATGTGACCACACAATGAAACTTTTTTTTTAAATGAAGTTTACGAGCATGATAGAACTCGGCAACGACCAAAAAGCGGTGAGTGCGTGGATTCCAACCTAAACACCTCTGATTGGCCATTGCGTTGTAGAAATCAACAAACATGTCTGTGATTGACCACTTTGCTCCCTCTCTGCAAAAATGCATTGTAAAATCATTTGACGCTTTCCAAAGCAGAAGGGCAGATACACTGGATTGTTTGCCAAATGTATTTCGTTTTGCTATTATTACGAAGAAAACAGATACTAGACCAGGAGTTATGGGCAGCTTTTCCATCTGAAAGCAATCAGTTAGACTATTTTACACTATGAGTTAGACTATTGTACATGCGAATCTAAAGTCCGGCCGTCCCCCTAGGTCCGGAGGGGGGCCTGCCCCTACTAATGGGCTATTTGCATTTGAATCTCCATTAAAAAGAGATAGATAGATAGATAGATAGATAGATAGATAGATAGATAGATAGATAGATAGATAGATAGTCTGACTTGGTGAACTGGTAAACAAACACAAGGCAGATGCATTGCTGCCACCCCCACCCATTCACACCTCTTTCCCATATAAACAGATCTGTGGTCTCTCAATCACTCCATGATTATCTCATATTTTCACCTCATACAGAAATATTTCCATTCTAATGCAGCAGACAGGGTGGACTACAAACACACCTATTCAGATGGTAATTTTAAGGCAAGCCTGCTTTAGGCATTCAAACTGTCCAGCCAGTAAATGCCTAGCAGTGATACATTCCATAGTCCACAAACATTTTCAAAGTTGAAATCTTTAGATTGTTGCTCTATTAGGGTTGTAAAACATGTTCACACGAGGCTTTGTCTTGCTTTTGTAGGATTAATAATGCTAATCTAAAGAAATGATTGTGAGCTTCCAATTCCCCTGAAAGAAACATTTTAAAACAGACAATAGATTAGAGAGATAAGAAGACTCTGCTCTAATTTGATGTTTGAGAATTTAGCCTATTTTTAGTTTTAAAATGCTAAATATATATATATATATATTTCTAAAATCAGGTGCATGATCAAATCATGGGTTAAATTAAATAACTTATTGGGCACATACAATCACAAGTAATTGTTTAAAAAATACATTTAATTTTCAT